CGGGCCCGGGCCCTCCACCACCACCCCCAGCGGGGCGGGCCCCGCGCCGCTGCGCCCACAGGTCCCTTACCCAGGTCCAGTCTCCGCCGCTCCCGCCACCGCTCGGTCCATCCACATGGTGTGTTCAAGCCTCGGCCGGGGAAAGCCAGCGCGGGTCCTTGCTCTGCTGGGCTGTGCGGCGCCTCCCCCTTGCGTCTCCTTCTGTCCAGAAATCTATTTCGTGTTTTCAAAAAAAAAAAAAAAAAGTTTTAAGTGTTCCCACGTCTCTCCGGGGGAATTTAGGGGACAGGTCGAGGCAAAAGTTCGCAAGAAAAGCAAGTGGTGGAGTGTACCACTGTCCTGAACCCGTTACCCCAGCGGAATGGTAGCGGCTCGGTACAAAGCCGCTAATTGTCTGGGAAGCGTGGCACACGTGAGTCAACCCCTCACACCTGGGTCCCGGCCTCGCGAGCGCCGATTCCTCACCTCATGAAGAAGGAGGCACAAGCCTCCTCTGTGATTGGCTTAGAGGCGGACCCAGAAGACTCTGTTGGAGCTTCTAATTGGCTAGTTAATTCTCAGCAGGTGCGAGCTCAACAACTACTTTTCCCGGCTCTTACTGGCTGATGAGGTGGGCCGGTCTTGGATTTCTTGCAGGTAATTGGATTTTAGCGCGCAGTAACTATGTCACTCACGATAACTCGCAGAATGATTGGTTGGGGTAGGGGGAGACGATTGGTTGACTACAAACCAGACGCTGATTAGTGCGGACGCGCTTTGGAGGCGGGACAGTGGTGGCTGAGGCGCGGCGGGCGGAGCTCGATTTGTGGTGCGTGTGGGAGGAGGAGTCGGCGGCGGCGGCGGCGGCGGCTGGGTTGAGGTGCGAAGCGGAGAGCAAGACAGTTGACTCTCGAGGAGCGCTAACGGTGGGGTTCCAGGGCGGGGTTTGGGGGTGGGGAGAGGCCGGGCTGTGGGCAGTCGTGGTCACCGGGATGCAGAAATGCGGGTTTGAGGAATGCCAGGCGGCCTGCTGAGGGTGTGGGGCCCAGGAGCCGGGGAGGCGCTGGCGGGCCGCTTTACCCAAATCCAAAGGACATTCTCTGGTAGTTGTGGTGTCTGCTGCGGGAGGGTTTGCCCCTTCGGCTGGTTCCTTTAGCGACAGAGGCACCATTCTTTTATTAATTTGCTGTGGTTTTTGTTTGTTTGTTTGTTTGTTTTTTGGTGCTGGGCTTCTTGAATTCAAGGCCTAGGCGCTGTCCCTGAGTTTTTGTGCACGGGGCTAACTAGTTTGCCTTTTTATCCACCTCCCTCCCACCCACCCCCCACTCAGCTTTTTCTTTAGTTATCTCTAAATATTGCGGGGGGAGGGGGGTTTGCAATGGTCAGAATAGTGTGTCAGAAGGTTTTGGGGGTGTATGTGTGTGTATGTTTCCTCCCTGTAGTCCTTGATCCTTAAGACAGTTATTATTGTGGTAAGTTTTGTCTGATTTGACTTCATTAACTCAGCACAAGATAATTTGTAATATCTGAAGAGGCTTTAGCTTTCAATTCATTCTCCCCACAATATATCAAGAACTGCAGATGTGGCCCAGAGTAGAAGGATCAAGATTTGAAATCAGCCTTGGTTTAAAAAAAAAGTTTGTAAAATCTTATCTCAACAGAAAAAGTTTGGTGTGTGGAATGCATCTATTATTACAGCTATGGCAGAAAGTGTAAAATAGGAGTATTACAGTTCAGGGGCTCAGTGGTAGAGCGCTTGCCTTGCATGCATGAGGCCCTGGGTTCGATTCCTCAGCACCACATAAGCAAAAAAGAAAAAAGCCAGGAGTGGCGCTGTGGCTCAAGTGGTAGACCGCTAGCCTTGAGCTGAAGAGCTGAGGGACAGCACCCAGGCCCAGAGTTCAGGCCCCACGACTGGACCCCCACCCCAAAAAAAAAAAAAAAAAAAAAGAGTATTACAGTCAGGCTGCCATTAACAAAAATCAAGGCCCTATCAACAAAAATAACCAGAGGAACAAGGGCTTGGAGACATTGCTTAGACACTAGATTGCCTACCTAGCAAGCTCAAAAGCACTGAGTTCAAATCCCAGTACTACTTTCAAAAAAGAATGATAAGCATGATGTGTGTTTGGGATACTGTGGAAGTCCATGTTGATGAACCCCAATCTATAGTAAGTCAGGCTTCAGAGAGTTTAACTACAAAATCAGAAAAACATAGGGCTGGGAAGGTGGCTCAGTGGTAGAGTGCTTGCCTTGCATGCATGAGGCCCTGGGTTCGATTCCTCAGCACCACATAAGCAGAAAAAAGCCAGAAGTGGTGCTGTTGCTCAAGTGGTAGGGTGCTCGCCTTGAGCTGAAGAGCTGAGAGACGGTGCCCAGGCCCAGAGTTCAGGCCCCACGACTGACCAAAAAAAAAAAAGAAAAAAGGAAAAACATTAGCAATCCCTAGATTTGATTCTCATAGTTTCAGAACTGAAAAAAAATTTTTTGTGTGTGTTGAGTCTATTTTGTCTGCCGCGGGGAAGGACATTGGTGTCCAGTTGCTACCATGGCTTCCGGTACACTAGCAACGCCTTAGATGCTGGATCTTCTGGCCAAGCATGGGTTCATATTCATTGTATCTCTGGGGATCTCAGCTCTCTATAAGCTTGGTGTGGCTGAACCAGGAAAGAAGACATATGCAGATTTCTACAGAAAATATGATTCCATGAAGGATTTTGAGGAGATGAGGAAAGCAGGTATCTTTCAGAGGGCAAAGTGAATTTGGAGTGTAAAGAATTTCTTTGTGTTGACCTGTGTTCCTGAACTATGAAATATAAATATGTGGGCTAATGAATAGTTTCTCTTATAAATAAATGAATACTATGGACTGGAAAACAAAAAAAAAGTGTTTTGGGCTTCCCTACAGAGATATGATTATGAGTGGCCTTCAAAACAGAATTATTTTCCTTGCACTCTGTAATGTGGAGAAATTCTTTCATATCCTTCAGCCTTCATTTCTCCATTTGTAACAAGGGGAACAGAATAAGCTCAATGGTCTCTCTCAGTTCTAAAACTTTTGCATAAACCAGAAGTATGGCTAGCAAGATCATGTTAAATGAGAGAGCACGTTTATTTAGGTTTCCCAGAACCACCTATAGGCATCTGCCTATCAAGATTTCTCCTACCAGACAAGCTAAATCTTAACTTGTATGCCTAGAGCAGCCTCACATTTGACACTTTACATTTATTGGTTTGACTAATTTGGCAGAAAGTGAGTAGTACTTTTTCAACTATGTCCTTTCTAAGAAATCTATTTAACTTCTAGTTCTTTCCTGATATTGAATTTTTTAAAATTTATTTTGCTGTCTAATTAGTTTTAGTGTTATCTCTCACCAAACTGTTTCAGAACAAGATTTTTATTTTTGGTGGGGCAGGGATGGGATGGGGGGGAGTTTAATTCAGAAGCTTGAACTCTGGCACAGTTTTTTTTTTAACTCATGTCTGGAACATAACCACTTGGGCTACACCTCCACTTCCAGCTTTTTACTAGTTAATTAGAGATAAGTCTACTGGATTTGTCTGCCTATGCTGGCTCCAAACTTCAATCCTCAGATTTCGGTCTCCTGAGTTGCCAGGATTACAGGCATGAGCCAGTGTTGTGAGGCTCAGAACAGGAATTATTCCTCCTTTTTTCCTAGCATGCTCAACCCATAATAAGCTAGAAGTACTTAACTGAAACACATTAATAATGAAGATGTTTACAGACCTTGAGAAAATCTATGCAATAACTAGATTTTTTTTAAAGTAAAACCTTTTGTAGACATCCAGAATAAACTATTTCTTAGTGTAGGAAAATATCAATTTGGGAGTCATATATTTACAAATTATTTATGCAGAAACCTTTCTTTTTGAAAACAATTATGTTTCCTCAGGTATGTTAAAGGTATTTATGTTATAATACAAAGAGTCATATAAGGTTTTTCTTGTTGACTCTTTAAAAAACAAGAAAACAGCCAGGCACTGGTGGCTCACACCTGTAATCCTAGCTACTCAGGAGGCTGAGATCTGAGGATCTCGGTTCAAAGCCAGCCCGGGCAAGAGAGACGGTAAAACTCCTATCTCCAATAAACCACCAGAAAACCCGAAGTGGCGCTGTAGCTCAAGTGGTAGAGCACTCGCCTTGAGCTGAAGAGCTGAGGGACAGCGCCCAGGGCCAGAGTTCAAGCCCCACGACAGACCAAAAAACAAAAAGAAAACAGTTTTATTCAGTGATTTGAGGAATAAACTTCATAAATGAAAATAAATACCATACATTAAACTTAGTCCTTCCATCTTTCCCTTAAAAGTGGGGGAAAAGCGGGCTGGGAAGGTGGCTCAGCGGTAGAGCACTTGCCTTGCATGCATGATGCCCTGAGTTCGACTCCCAGCACCACATAAGCAGAAGGAAAAAAAAAGCCGGAAGTGGCGCTGTGGCTCAAGTGGTAGAGTGCTAGCCTTGAGCTGAAGAGCTGAGGGACAGTGCTCAGGCCCACAGTTCAGGCCCCACAACCGGACCCCCAAAAAAAGTGGGGGAGGGGCTGGGAAGGTGGCTCAGTGGTAGAGTGTTTGCCTTGCATGCACGAGGCCCTGGGTTAGATTCCTCAGCACCACATAATCAAAAAGAAAAAAGCCGGAAGTGGTGCTGTGGCTCAAGTGGTAGAGCGCTAGCCTGGAGCTGAAGAGCTGAGGGACAGCGCCCAGGCCCAGAGTTCAGGCCCCACGACCGGACCCAAAAAAAAAAAAAAAAGTGGGGGAAAGCTAGATGTAGTAGTATACTCCTGTAATCCCAGCTACTTAGGAGGCTGAGGCAGAAGGACCAAAAGCCTGGAAAACTTATCAGGACTCAAAACAATATCAAAAAGTATAGTTCAGTAATAGTTTCCTAGGATCCATGAGGCTCTAGGTTCAATTCCCAGTACAATCCCTGAAAGGATGGGAAGAGAACAGTATTCCTTCATGTTGATGCTGAGTCTCTAAAAGTGATGTACAGAGCAGTACATCAGTGGTTCATATTTTTAATATAGCTGCTCAAGAGTCTGAGACACAAAGAAATATGGTTCAAATGCAGGCTGAGCAGAAAAATCTGGGATATTTCATCTCCAAAATAACCTGCAAAAAGCAGAGCTATAGGCCTTTCTCAAGTAGTAGAGCACAATAATATATTGGATATTGGATAACTAATGGTCTGTAATAGACAAGACACTTGAAAACACTCCTCAACAAAGAGGGATTCCCCGCGGCCCCCCCCCACCCCCGCCCCTTTCAAGCCAGGAGTCTCTCAAGAGGGTAATTTTGTTTAAAGATATTGTCTAGAGTCAAGTGACAGGAGATCTCCCTGTAATCCTAGCTATTAAGAAGGCTGAGCAATGAGAATTGCCCTTCAAAGGCAGCCCTGACAGAACAGTTTTAGAGATTCTGTCTCCAATTAGCCAGCAACAACAACAAAAAATTGATCTGGAGATAGGGTTCAAGTGTTAGATCACCAGACATGAGTGAAAAGGCCAGTCAAAAGCATAAGACCCTGTGTTCAAGCTTTGGTACTAGCAAAAAAAAACTACAAAAACCCTACTGTCTTTAAAAAATAGATTTGTAGGGGATGGGAAGGTGGTTCAGTGGTAGAGCGCTTGCCTGGCATACATGAGGCCCTGGGTTTGATTCTTCAGCACCATGTAAACAGATAAGGCTGGAAGTGGCACTGTGGCTCAAGTAGTAGAATCCTAGCCTTGAGCTGAAGAGCTGAGGGACAGTGCCCCAGGCCCAGAGTTCAAGCCCTACAACTGACAAATAAATAAATACATAAATAATAGATTTGTAGCAGGCCACCAGTGGTTCACTACTATAATCCCAGCTACTCAGGAGGCTGAGATCTGAAAATAGTGGCAGAAAAGTCCCTATAAGGCTTTTTTTTTTTTATTGTCAGTTGTGGGGCTTGAACTCTGGGTCTAGGCTTTATCCCTCAGCTCTTCAGCTCAAGGCTAGCGCTCTACCACTTGAGCCACAGCGCCACTTCAGTTTTCTGAGTGGGTTATTGGAGATAAGAGTCTCATGGGCTCTCCTTCCCAGGCTGGCTGTAAACTGTGATCCTCAGCCTCTTGTGTAGCTAGAGTTACAGGAGCGAGCCACTGGTGCCTGGCCCCATAAGACTTTATCTCCAATTAACCACTCAAAAAAATGAAGTGGTGCTGTGGCTCAAGTGGTAGAGCACTAGCCTTGAGCACATAGAGGCTCAGAGACAATGCTCAAGCCCTGAGTTCAAGTCCCACAACCAACAACAATAACAAAAAAAGGCATCCACTTGTCTGGACATATTATGTATGCAGTTGATTTTACAAATTTAAAGTTTAGGAGGAAGTCCTAACTGTAACAACATATAGATGAGATTTTAGTATAATAGAAGAGAGGAAAGAACAACTCCTTGGGACATCTGGTGTGACAAGGTTTAACAAATGAGAAAGAACTAGAGATTGAACCTTGATAGATTAGCCAGAAGAGGAGAAAAGTGAGGAGGATGTGCTGTTTTGGAAGCCCAAGAGAAGAAGGTGTTTTGTTTTTTGGGGGGATCTGGTCGTGGGGCCTGAACTCTGGGCCTGGGCGCTGTCCCTTAGCTCTTTAGCTCAAGGCTAGCGCTCTACCACTTGAACCATAGCACTACTTCCGGCTTTTTTCATTTTGCTTATGTGGTGCTGAGGAATCAAACCCAGGGCTTCATGCATGCAGGGCAAGCGCTCTATCACTGAGCCACCTTCCCAGCCCCAAAACAGAAGGTGTTTTTGAAAAGAGTAACACTCACTATTCCAGATCCTGTGGCAAAAGCAGACAAGATGAGACCTAATCTTTGGATTTAACAATACCTAAGTATTAACACTCTCAGTTCTCCATGTAAAAGGAAAGGAAAACATGGGAGGTAGTTAAGAGGAGCAAGTAGAATGAAGACAGGCTTTCTTTAAGAAGAGAGAATACTTACTGATGGGAAACCCAGGGGAGAGGAAAGCATTAACAATACCGAAAGAAGAACTTGGAGAACTTTTTTTTTTCTTTGTCATGGGGCTTGAACTCTGGGCCTGGGCCCTGTCCCTCAGCTCTTCAGCTAAGGCTAATGCTATACCACTTGAGCCACAGTGTCACTTCCTGTTTTCTGGTGGTTTATTGGAGATGAGTCTCACAGACTTTCCTGCCTGGGCTGGCTTTGAACCGAAACCCTCCTGAGTAGCTAGGATTATAGGCATGAGCTACGAGCACCCAGCTTTGGAGGACATTTTTATGAAAGACTTCAGTATGGGCCTGGGAAGGTGGCTCAGTGGTAGAGTGCTTGTCTCTCATTCATGAGGCCCTGGGTCCAATTCCTCAGCACCGCATAAACAAAAAAAGCCAGAAGTGGTGCTGTGGCTCAAGTGGAAGAGTGCTAGGCTTGAGCTGAAGAGCTGAGGGACAGCGCCTAGGCCCAGAGTTCAAGCCCCATGACTGACAAAAAAAAAAAGACTTCAGTACAAGGAATAACGACAATTTATTGTTACAGGAGAAAAGATCAAATAGAGAAAGGTGAATGAATGGGTGTTTGTGGATACTTTCTTTGAAGGCTCTGCTTCCTTAATGAAGTAGGAAGCAAGAACATTTAAGGAATTTAAGAAAGAAGTTGTTTGGGGCTGGGAAGGTGGCTCAGTGGTAGAGCGCTTGCCTTGCATGCATGAGGCCCTGGGTTCGATTCCTCAGTACCACATAAGCAGAAAACAAGCCAGAAGTGGCACTGTGGCTCAAGTGGTAAAGCACCAGCCTTGAGGTGAAGAGCTGAGGGACAGCACCCAGACCCAGAGTTCAGACCCATCACCGGAACCGAAAATAAAAAAAAAAGGAAGGGGCTGGGAAGTTGGCTCAGTGGTAGAGCGCTTGCCTTGCATGCCTGAGGCCCTGGGTTCGATTCCTCAGCACCACATAAGCGAAAAAGAAAAAACCCAGAAGTGGCGCTGTGACTCAAGTGGTAGAGCGCTAGCCTTGAGCTAAAGAGCTGAGGGACAGCGCCGAGGCCCAGAGTTCAGGCCCCACGACCAGACCCCCCCCCCAAAAAAAAAAGGAACAAGTTTTTTAAGGTTGGAGAAGAAAGATGTGAAATAATTGTCAAGGGAGTTTGAATGTATGTGGAGTTACAAGGAGGGAAATGTTAAGATTTTCTTGGCAGCAAAATGAAGGCATAGTGTCAGATTTTAATAAATGCTAGTAAGGCCATTGCAATGTTCTAAATAAAAGGTTTGTGCTTATTGATTGATAGATTGATGCATGCTGTTACTGGGGCTTGAACTCAGAACCTGGGTGCTTTCCCTTAGCTTTTTCGCTCTAGGCTGGCATTCTCCCACTTGAGCCACAACTCCAGGTCTGACTTTTTGGTGGCTGATTGAAGATAAGAATCTCATGGTCTTTTGTGCTGGACTGGCTTCCTATTATGATTCTGAGATTTCAGTCTCCTGAGTAGTTAAGATTACAGGCACGAGCCACTGGTGCCCAGCTAAGATGTTGTGCTTCTGACCAGGTGCTATGTGGTTGGAGTCATTAGCATGCAGTCAATAATTGAAGCTTCAGGTGTTGATGAAATTTCCTAAAGAAAGCAGTCACATTAGCAATGGCTAGAAAGCATAGGTTGACAAGCCCCAAATGGAGAAGTATTTGCCAGAGAAACAGGAAGAGAATGGAAGAGAAAGAGGACACAGAAACCAAGGATTTTTATTTTATTATTATTGGTATGTGTGTCTGTCTGTCTGTGTCTGTCTGTCTCTCTCTCTCTCTCGCTCGCTCGCTCGCTCGCTCTCTCTCTCGCTCTGTCTCTCTATCTCGTTGTGTCTTTTCTGCAGCTTGACCTCAAGGCCTGTACATTGTCCTTAAGCTTTATTGCTCAAGTTTTAGTGCTCTGCCACTTGAGCCACAGCTTCACTTCTGGCTTTTTTCGGGGTGGGGGTACTTAATCGTGGTTAAGAGTCTTAGACTTTCTTGTTCCTGCCGGCTTCAAACTGCAGTCCTCAGATTTCAGCCTTCTGAATAGCTAGGATTACAGACATGAGCCACCAGCACTCAGCCCAAGGAAATATTTTTGTGGCAAGAATAATTGCCTTCTGGCTGCTGCAGAGTAAAATAAGTCCTCATGCATGTTCTCTAGGTTGATTGTCTGGCAAGTTAATTCTAGTAAAGGAGCAAGGTAGAATCCTATTTCACTATTGGCTGAGCTATAAATAGAAATCGGGAGAGACAGTAAATGAAGGCTATATCACCATGCAAGATAAGTAAGATGGTCTTTATCTGGCCTAGAAAAGGCAGTCCTTGCAGAGACAACAGTTTCTGAGACTATCCAGAGGCATAGATAAGGAATTTTAAATCATTTGATATAAAATCTAAGAGTATATGTGTACGCATGGGCACACATAGCTTACAAAGCTGACAGAGTACCATTGAAACCAAACCTCCAGCTGTACTTTTTTTTTTTCTAGTTAAATTGGATTATGGTTGTGGCCACTGCTCCTTTGGCTTTTAAAACTGATCAGTGGGCTGGGAATGTGGCTTAGTGGTAGAGTGCTTACCTAGCATGCATGAAGCCCAGTTCGATTCCTTGGTACTACATAAATAGAAAAAGCCAGAAGTGGCACTGTGGCTCAAGTGGTAGAGTGCTGCTAGCCTTGAGCAAAAGAAGCTCAGGACATTGCCCAGGCACTGAGTCTAAGCGGCAGGACTGGCCAAAAACAAAAACAAAACAAAAAACTGATCAATGCATAGATCTCCTTGAGAAAAAAAAATTAAAGTTTCCTATTTCATTTTATGTGCATGTTTCCCTTAACATATTTAAAATACAATGAGACATTTTTTCCATGAAACAGATTTTTGAGTTTGCTGAAGTTCTTAAATGGGAAAATCAGCACTTGTGTTCTTTTCAGTAACAGTGTGTTCTCATGCCTCTCTGCCAGTCAGACAAGTGTTGGTTGAAAATGCCAACATTTCCTTGGTTTGCTTCTTTCAGGATGTCAGTCAGCTGAAAATGTCCACTGAGCAGACTTCTTGGACAAGCTTGTCCACTATTCAGAAGATAGCCCTGGGCCTCGGCATCCCAGCCAGTGCAGCAGTTGCCTATATCCTATACCGTAGGTATAGAGAAAGCAGAGGTATGTGAAGCACTTCATCATTGTACCTAAAAATATTTAGATCATGTTTCTGCCTTGTCAATTAAAATAAAAGTTTTTTCCTTGCCAGACCAGTATTGTGTCTGAGATAAGATTGGCTTTTGGTAAGGAATCATACTGAAAATATTTCTTCTTTGTATTCTGTGTAGCTAACGTATGAAATGATCAAGTTGTATAATCCATTGGTCTGTTATACTCTTATTTATATGCTTCTCTCTAGTTGTCAGAAGTCACTATCCCAGCCACATGTTGATGGCTCACCCTGTATGTAATCCTAGCTATTCAGGAAGCTGTGACCTCAAAGACCAAAGTTCAAATACAGCCTGGGCAGAAAAATCTATGAGACTCCCATCTCTAACCAGGAAAATTTTGGACTGGAGATTTTGTACTCAAGTGGTAGAGCACCAGCCCATGAGCAAGAAAGCTGAGCAAGAGACCCTGAGTTCAAGTCCCAGTCCCAGTACCTAACTAAACAAATGAGTAGTATCCTATAGGCTAGAGAATAGAACTTAGAGAAATGGTTAATGTAAAAGTCATTCAAGAAAGCTAGGTGCAGTACACTTGTAATCTCAGATTCTCAGGGGTTAGAAATCCAAAGGATCATGTTTGAACTTCTAGTGGACAAAACAGCAAGACCCACTCCCCCTCAGTACAATTAGCTGGGTCTGGCAGCACATCTGTGGTCCCAGCTACACAGGAGCCCATAACATGGAAGATCACAGTTTGATGCCAATCCTAGGCAAAATTACCTAGGATTGCTAAAACAAAAATGGCCTAGAGGTGTGACTCAAATGGTAGAACACCTGTCCAGAAAGGCCCTGAATTCAAACCCTAGTACTGCCAAAAACAAAAATAATCCAGAGGGCTGGGAAGGTGGCTCAGTGGTAGAGCGCTTGCCTTGCATGCCTGAGGCCCTGGGTTCGATTCCTCAGTACCACATAAGCAAAAAGTAAAAAGCTGGAAGTGGTGTTGTGGCTCAAGTGGTAGAGCGCTAGCCTTGAGCTGAAGAGCTGAGGGACAGCACCCAGGCCCAGAGTTCAGGCCCCACGACTGGACCCCCCCCCAAAAAAAAATTCAGAATTTTTGTGACTATAGATATTTAAAGCAACTTATGGCCTTCATTCTTATCCAAGAATCATGTTTTGGGAAAAGTAGTTTGCTCAGAACCAAGAGCCTCCTCTTTCCATAATCTACATTTCCCATTTTAGTATCTTAGAGAAAATGCCCTGTTTGTGAGTGTGTATGTGTACTGGGGCTTAAACTTGGCCTTATGCATGTTAAGTATGTACTGCACTCATCACTGAACTATACCCTCAGCCTCAACTCTAGTTTTTGAGGATCTCTTAATTTCCACTTAGATATTCCTTTTCCTTCTCACTGTGGTTAGATCCACACTTTATATCTTGCATCAGTGTCTCTTGGGATAATAGTATTTTGGGGTGTATTTAAGTCCAATCCAGTAAGCTCTGATCTGTGCAGAAGAACGGCTGACGTTTGTTGGAGAGGATGACATTGAGATAGAGATGCGGGTTCCCCAGGAGGCTGTGAAGCTCATTATTGGACGGCAAGGAGCCAACATTAAACAAGTAAGTGTGGGAACAAGCAAGTGGCTTTTCCCAGGCCTTGATTCGGTTTATTGATTTCTTGTTCCCTTCCTCCGACCCTATATCAAGAAAGACCCCCCAAGCTGTTTATATTTTTAAATGAAAAAAAAAGCTTTTTATCTAGCTACACTATTTACTTTCCAAAGATGAATACTTTTTAGAGAATTAATGACTAGATTAGATGATTCTCAGCTTAATATAGCTTGAATTTTTTTCTATTATAGAATTAACTTATTAATTGGCAATAAATACAGAATTATTGCTTTTTAAAAAACTATTTTCTAACAAAGGAGGAGGCTGCAATGCTTGGTAAGAAATGTACGCATTATCCTGCCCATGTAATTGTAACCCCTCTGTACAGTATGTTCACAAATATAATAAAATAAATTTTAAAAAAAAAACTATTTTCTATTCTTCAACAAAACAAAATCTTTTGGTTGAAGATATAGTTCAGTGGTAGAATTCTCAACCTAATACCTATGAGGCCCCAGGTTCACTTCCTAGCAAAACACACACACACACACACACGCACGCACGCACGCACGCACGCACGCACGAATGAGGAATGAGATGGGCACCTGTGGCTCATGCCTGTCATTTTAGCTACTCAGGAGTCTGAGATCTGAGGATCACAGTTTGAAGCCACCATGCCCTCTCCCCATGTTCCCCTTCCCCCCGCCCCCCCAATAGAAGCAGAGAATGAGACTTTTATCTCTAGTTAACCACCAAAACCTGGAAATGGAGCTGAGGCTTATGTGGTAGAGCTCTAGCTTTGAGCAAAAAAGCTCAGGGCCCTGAGTTCAAGCCCAGGACTGTCAAAAAAGAGAGAGAAAATTGTGATTATCTAATCTATCTAAAATCAGGAAAGAAAGGGACATAAACACAGAGAAATAAATGGTTTTAAATTAACTGCTATTTGGAATTATTCTTGTTACTGATTTCCTTCCATAAGTACAAGTAAATGAGGATTGCTTATAGTGTTTGTACTTAGCTGGTGCTTTTGCTTAACTCCATGTATCTCCAGGATTTAGTTTAGAGTATCCTTAGCTGGGCCCTAATTGGAGCTCTTTCAAAGTGTACTGCTACATCTTTTTCTCTGCAGTTGCGGAAACAGACAGGTGCTCGGATTGATGTGGACACAGAGGATGTAGGCGATGAGCGAGTGCTGCTTATCAGTGGTTTTCCTGTTCAGGTGTGCAAGGCCAAAGCAGCCATCCATCAGATCCTGACAGAGAATACCCCTGTGTCTGAGCAGCTCTCAGTTCCCCAGAGATCCGTGGGCAGAATCATAGGTACCACTGGACAGCTTCCTCTGCTATTTCCTTTTTTCTTTACTTTTGCCTTTCACACCTTCCCAGGGGTTTTCCTGATCTACCCTCTTTGACCTCGTTGAGGAAAAAAGACAGACATTGAGACCAGTACTTTACTTTCTTAGAGAATTGGTGGTAAAAACAAAACTTACTATCTGAATCTTATAGATAGATTTATAAAGGAAAAATTTGATGTCTGTACTATCTTGGTCTTTCAAAGCAGTGCTATAAAGAGTACCTGTTAGGGCTGGGATGTAGCTCAGTGGTAAAGTGCTTGCCTAGCAACTCCAACATCCTGGGTTTGATCCCCAGATCCCTAGTACCAAAACAGAAAAGATAAAAAATATACGTTAAGAGTACCTGTTAAGTGTCCCCCAAGTAACTCCGTGCACTGTTTCAGACAGAGAAGAGTCCTCAGTACAGGATTCTAATACAACACGCAGCATATTTTCTTAAGAGCTGGAGATGCAAAGTATAGTCTTGCCTAAGAATCCAGAAAATGGAAATGACATGAAATTAACATAGCTAAACATCAAGAGTAAATAAAATTGATAGAGTCCTTTATTCTCTTTCCTATAACAATAACTCCAGTAGCTCATCCTTCCATTCTTCATTTTATATCCTGCTTAATTTGGAAAGTAGCACTGATTATGATTTTTCTAGTAGTTAAGATTGGCCAGGAGGGAAGGACAGATTTTTTATGTGTTGTTCAATATAGGGAGAGGCGGCGAGACAATTCGTTCTATCTGTAAGGCCTCAGGAGCAAAAATTACCTGTGACAAAGAATCTGAGGGGACATTACTACTATCAAGACTTATAAAAATCTCAGGAACACAAAAGGAAGTGGCAGCAGCTAAGGCAAGTAGCTGATGCACTGAATCATATTTAGAGTGAAAAGAACCCTTTACTTGATCCTGGATCAGTATCTGACTGAATAGATTATACCTTCTTTCATTTTCCACAGCATTTGATACTGGAGAAAGTTTCAGAGGATGAAGAACTTCGAAAGAGAATTGCCCATTCTGCAGAAACCAGAGTCCCACGCAAGCAGCCAATCAGTGTGAGAAGAGAAGAAATGACAGAGGCAGGAGGAGCTGGAGAACCAGCTTCATGGAAAAACACCAGTTCTAGCATGGGGCAGACTGCACCTTTGGAGATTCCTCCCCACAAAGGAGGTGGTGACATGGCTGTTCTAGGACCCAAAGAAGGTTCCTGGGAAAAACCTAATGATGACAGCTTTCAGAAACCTGGAGCCCAAACCAGTCCAGAGATGTCCATGTTTGAAAGTATGTAACAAACTGAGAACCCATTAATCATATAAAAGATAAGACGACTAGCTTATCTGACCTCAAATAGGAATCAATAAAAAATGTAAATCTATCATCATAAATCATGCCTTTCTGGTAATGTCTACTTAGGTTGATACTAAACAATATATGTGTATATATATATGTGTGTGTGTGTATGTATATATATAGAAAGAGATTTTTTTTTCTGGTTGTGGGGCTTGAATTCTGGGCGCTGTCCCTCAGCTCTTCAGCTCAAGGCTAGCCCTCTGCCACTTGAGCCACAGCACCACTTCCAGTTTTCTGGTGGTTTATTGGCTATAAGAGTCTCATGGACTTTCCTGCCTGGGCTGGCTTTGAACCATGATCCTCAGATTTCAGCCTCCTGAGTAGCTAGGATTACAGGTTGAGCCACTGGCGCCTGGCTACAATAATTTTTCTGAATGTAAGCCAGCTAATGATGAAGGAAAATGAGATCACAATATGCTGACACAGGAAATTAGTCTGTGAGTGGTACATCAAATAATTAAATGTATATTCTTTCCCCAAACACACCTTTTACTGGCTGGGCACTAGTGGCTCATGCCTGTAATCCTAACTACTCAAGAGGCTGAGGTTTGAGGATCATGGTTTGAAGTCAGCCTGGGCAGGATAGTCCATGAGACTCTTTTCTCCAATAAACAGTTCAAAAAAGCTGGAAGTGGCTAAAGTGGTAGAGCACTAGCCTTGAGCAAAAGAAGCTCAGGGACAGCATTCAGGCCCAGAGTTTAAGCCCCAGATCTGGCAAAAGAAAAATTTCATTAGCGTACACAGGAAACTAGTCTGTGAGTGGTACATCAAATAATTAAATGTATATTCTTTCCCCAAACACACCTTTTACTGGCTGGGCACTAGTGGCTCATGCCTGTAATCCTAACTACTCAGGAGGCTGAGGTTTGAGGATCATGGTTTGAAGTCAGCCTGGGCAGGATAGTCCATGAGACTCTTTTCTCCAATAAACAGTTCAAAAAAGCTGGAAGTGGCTAAAGTGGTAGAGTACTAGCCTTGAGCAAAAGAAGCTCAGGGACAGCATTCAGGCCCAGAGTTTAAGCCCCAGATCTGGCAAAAGAAAAATTTCATTAGCGTACACTAGTTCTATAAGAAAAGTTTCATTTTGACATGTCCATACATGTATTCAATGTATCCCATCAACCTCATCTTCCTTATTACTCTCCCTTATTCTTCTTCATCTTAAAACAATTTCACCTGGCTTCATGGTGTATGCATGTAAATGTACGTTGACAAAATTCACCCTTATTCACTCTCTCCATTGATGTTCCCCTTCTCTCACTCATAGCCACCCTGAACAGAGCCTGTTTTATTCTTCTGTCACCAGACATGCTTTTTGAATAAGTAAATTCTTAGCCTAATTTTGTATGGCCTGTCTGGTTTGTTTTTTAAAAATCATCACTTCAAGAAGACTGAAAAAGCCATGAGCTTTCTCTCTATGCAAAGATGCTGGGATGAACAGGGAAGACCAGGGCCCCCCAGAGGCTCATGCTCATGACGTTGTCCATGCTCACATGATGGATCCACGGTAGAATGGAATCTGGAACAAGCAAAATTATTCATGTACAGCTTACTGCCCATGTACCTTTTCATGATCTTGATGCACCTGCCAGATGGAGGACTTCTCTGAATACATGGCATATGTCAAAGAATGTATATTATTGTTTCTCAGTTACATAGAAAGGTACTGAGGATAACTTAGTACCTTTCTTCAGGACATTCTTCCAGTTGTTCCTCCAGCCATTTTCTAAATGGTTAACAGCCAGTCAGTATTTGTACCATTCACAGTTCTAATACAGTCACCATCCTTATCCCTATGTTCAGTCCCCAGTCCTGACTTCAGTTTCCATGCTGATGAGTACCTAGAAGTCTACGTTTCTGCCTCTGAACACCCTAACCACTTCTGGATCCAAATCATTGGCTCACGTAGCCTGCAATTGGATAAGCTTGTCAATGAGATGACCCAGCATTATGAGAATAGCCTGGTGAGTTTCCATAAGCACAGGGCTGGGGCATTTTCATTGTAATATGTTTTCTTTCTTGTGAGGCAACTGTTCTTTCTCCCTTATGGTATTCCCTGTTTATTAGCTACCATTCATAACTCTACCCCCTCCCAACTCCTCACTCCCATGTATAGCCTGAAGACTTGACTGTGCATGTAGGAGATATTGTAGCTGCACCTTTATCCGCAAATGATTCCTGGTATCGAGCCCGGGTCCTTGGCACGTTGGAGAATGGAAATTTAGACCTCTACTTTGTTGACTTTGGAGATAATGGAGATTGCCCACTGAAGGAGCTCAGGGCTCTCAGGTCAGTGTGGACTCTTCTGGAATCTCAGCTGTTGGCTCAGCCCTGACCATATAGAGTAGTAAGCTCACATCACCATGGGGATTTAAAAGAAAATCTATTTTCAGAAAGCAGATGATTATCTTCTCACTGGATCAGTTGGTTCTATCTAAAAGAAGACTATAAGAAGTCCCACTTTGCCCTGAGCTTCTGATTTGTTTCTCTCAATTTAGGAGTGACTTTCTAAGCCTTCCATTTCAAGCAATTGAATGTAGTCTGGCACGGATTGCCCCCTCAGGTAAATCAGTCATGTCAACTTTGTCTTTCATATAACATATGTGAGGAGCTCTCACATTACCAACCTTTTTGAGTTGGGAGTCTCAACGCTTTTTCATTACTAGTATGAAAAAGCAGCAACCAGAATTTGCCTGGCAGTGAGGCAGACTCACCAGAGATGTATATAAGTACCTTCCTGAGTAAAAATGAATAGTTCCCACTATGTTGAAAATGAACTATTCAACTTATGGGTGGAGATGGGAAGAGGTGACACTGTTCAAAAAGAAATGTATTCATTACCTGACTTATGTAACTGTAACCCCTCTGTAATCTTTATAATGACAATAAATTTTTTTTTAAAGAAATAGTTCCAACTTCCCTCCAGGGTATATGCATACCCTCTCAGCACCTTCTGTGACACTTCCACCCTCTTATAATTTTCTGCCAGGTGTACAATGGGAGGAGGAAGCTTTAGATGAATTTGACAGACTAACTTACTGTGCTGAATGGAAGCCCCTGGTGGCCAAGATCTCTAGCTACGTCCAGACTGGGATCTCAACTTGGCCAAAGATCTACTTATATGATATCAGCAATGGGAAGGTAACACTGCTCAATCTATCATCTGCATTTTCATACCCTATTTCTCTCCCAGAAACCTTTATCCTAGTCACCATCTCACACACGCACAAAAAAGCCTTTGAACTCTGGGCCTGGGCGCTGTCCCTCAGCTCTTCAGCTCAAGGCTAGCGCTCTACCACTTGAGTCACAGTGCCACTTCCAGCTTTTTTCTTTTTGCTTAGTGGTGCTAAGGAATCGAACCCAGGGTCTCAGGCATGCAAGGCAAGCACTCTACCACTGAGCCATCTTCCCAGCCCCGGACAACCTTTGAAGTTTTAATCTGAGTTATTCCATCTTATTTACTCAGATTTGTCCTCCCTAACAATGGGAACAGTATTCTTTTTGTTTTATTTCTCAGAAACTTGATATTGGGCTAGAATTAGTTCGTAAAGGATATGCAATTGAGCTTCCTGAAGACATGGAAGAAAACAGAACTGTCCCGGACATGTTGAAGGACATGGTATGTGAACTCTTACTTAGACAGCTGCTTCCAGGAAAACCTTGGGCATGGAGACACAATGAGGCCTTCTAGACATAACATTAACTTCTGGAAAATTGAAAACTGTGCCACTCTAGAACTATTAGGTTACTTCAGCTTCCAAACTGCTTAGGAAAATGTTGATCAAAGGCATTGAGTAGGAAAGGAATGATGGAGTGGGGGTAAATATGGTCACAGTGCTCTGTGTGTGTGTGTGTGTGTGTGTGTGTGTGTGTGTGTGTGTGTGTAAATAACATGAAGCCCATTAAAAGTTATAAAGGGAGGATTATTGAGAGGTATAAGGAAAAAAACCCAAAACAACAAAACAAGATATTTTTGTTCCTGTCAACTGCCTTAATCTGATCCTATAGGCAAAATGACAGGATGACCTCTCTTTTCCCACCAGTCAAGATGGTCTTTTTCTCTTTTATGCCCTAAGGCCACAGAAACAGATGTCTCTCTTGCCAGCATGCTTAGTGAGACCAGAGAGAGCCCGGAAGAGCTACCACATACCCTGTCCTGCCTCAGCTTATCAGGTACCATCATTGTTGCCTATTTAGCATATCTGTGGATTTTTTTGTTTTGTTTTTTGTTAGTCATGGATCTTGAACTCTGGACCTGGGCACTTTCCCGGATGTGTTCAGCTCAAGATGAGTGCTACTACTTGAGCCACAGCACCACTTCCAGTTTTCTGGTGGTTAATTGGAGATAAGGGTCTCACGGACTTTCCTGCCTGGGCTGGCTTTGAACCTCGATCCTCAGATCTCAGCCTCCTGAGTAGCTAGGATTACAAGCATGAGCCACCAGCACCCGGCTGGAGTTACCTTTTCAGTTTCTCCAGAGTAGGGAAGTTAAAGCTTGGTTCTTAGATCATTGAGCACCAAGAGCCCAGTTTAATCCTGGGCCTCACTGGTAGTACCTGCTAGAAGAGGGCAGTATCTAATATCATTTCTGCCCAATAGAAGCTGCCTCTATGTCTGGTGATGATAACCTTAAAGATGACTACTTACTCTGAAGTCCGTGCTTCAGCTGGAGAGCCATCTGCTTTGCAATGTGAGTAAGGAAGTGATGAGGGTAAGAACGGGAGCCTTAACTTTATTACCCCTTCCCTTTACTCTACCTTCATGTAGTCCTCTGCAGCTGCTTTCCTGCTGATTAACTTGCTTCATACTGACTCTTTAAGCTTTTTGCCTCTGTTTGGCAGGATTTGGTGCCAGGAGAGAGGAATCTCCAATAGAGATCCATGCAGTCCTTCCTTTGTTACACAGAGTCTGGCTTGGACCAAATTTATTTTCTCCTCCCATTGGACTACCAGAAAGTGTGTGGGGAAGAGGGAGACAAAAACATCCTCCCTACACTTTACTCCCAACCCCCACCCTGCTGCTGTTATTTTCAAGGGTCTGAGTCAAGCTAGGTCCCCTCTGCCAGTCATAATGTGTATTATTGTGGGGCTGTGTCTTTCAAGGCTGGGAAACAGCCAGAGTTTGGGCACTGAAATGATGATTCTGAAGACTGTGACTCACCCTATCAGGTGACTCTTGTTACAGGAAGTGTTATGAGTAGTGTTTGAGTCGAAAAGCAAAGGCAAAAATCAGCAAAAATGTTGAGCTGCAGGACGTGGAAAGAATACCACCTCCCAGCCACAATTTCAGATAGGTTATTGGAGACAAGTGTGTGTGTACATGTACAAACTTTAATTAAAATGTAAGTAAAAAAGAGACAGCTCAGGAAATGCTGTAAATTGCTAGTAAAGTGTTAGTAAAGTGTCTATATATGTATATACATACACCTTGAAAGTTCAAATCATTTGGGGGACTGAATAAAAATCTCAAAAATATTTAAACTAAGTACTCATTGGCCACCTAAACCTAAATCTCGTGAGAATTATCAACAAGTGTCTTTCCATACACACATTTACTTTCTTCCCCCAGAGTCACTTCCAAATCAGCCAACTCAAGGTTAGGCTATTTAGGCTATGTAAATAAAACCCACCTAAACTATTGTAAAAAGCCTGGATTCGGATTCTGGAAACCTGGATTCAAGGAATGCTTAAGAGCAATTTTTCATTTGTGACAGTATTGTCTCTAATGAGAACTGTGAAGGTAATTGAAGGTATGTATATATGTAATGTGGGTAGGAGGATAATGGTAAGTGAACAATGAAAGGTAAACTAGAAAAAAATACATAAAGATGCCTTATGCAGGCCCTTTTTAATATCAAGGGGTTAGTGAGATCTTCCCTGATACTATGTGGAATTTCCTCCTCCTTTAGGGTCTTTGCTATCAAAGATAGCATGAACTTCACCCCCCTTTGGTGGAAAATTAGTGCCTGTCTTACCTGCAGTTTACTACTATAAAATATTCTTTTGTTGTTGGTCATGGGGTAAAAATTATTCACTTCATGTCTTGTCAGTTTATATCCCGTCCTGTGAATTCCATTCGTTCTTCCAATACAACCCTGTACTTGCTATCTGGAATACGCTCTCTTTGCATTTTGTGATCCATGTACCTTCTCTCCAAACAACTGGTACTTGTCTCCAATTTCCATTGAAATGTGTAAATGTGTAGATCTAGTTGGTCGCTTGTGGGGCTTGAACTCAGGGCCTGGGCACTGTCCCTGAGCCTCTTTATGTCCAAGGCTATCCCTCTACCACTTGAGCCACAGAACCACTTCTGGTTTTTTTAGTGGTTTATCAGAGATAAGAGTCTCACGGGGATTTATCTGCACAGGCTGGCTTCAAACTAGTATCCTCAGATCTCAGCCTCCTGAGATTACAGGCATGAGCCAACTGGGCCCAACAAGACAGTCTTTTTGAGCTCCCTAATTGGTTGGTAATACTTTGCCTTAGACATTTATACATAGGATGTATAAATGGCTTGGATGTATAAATGGCTTGGGATAAGGGAATGGAAAAAGGAAATTGAATTCTTTCCCTCTGTGGCACAGGTGCCTCTGATCTTTTTAATCACCAAACTCACCCTACAGTGAGTTTAGTTCTGTACCCCCAGTCATCACTACCCCCTCCATCCAAGAAACAGCGGACACATTTTGATTGCACTACCCTTTATTCCTAGGGTGGAGTTGTTTTGAGTCACATCCTAGGGGTCTTGAGTCCCGTGTATCAAGGCTTCCAGCCCCTCACAGAGATGGAATAAGCATGTTTAGGGAGGCGCATTAGGCAGGTTGCCAAGGTCCCTTTCTAGGGGATACACCATGAAGATGACATTGCCCCAGGGAGGAAGGGCAGGATGATCTGGTCTGACCACCTCAAAGCCCATGTAGCTGAAGGCCCGAAGCAGGGCACCTGTAAAAGGACAGTACAAATGATTAGAACAAGTGATTAGCTCATCCCATTTATTCCCTCAGAGATCTGATTTATGGAAGCAGTAGAGTACAGGCTTTATTTAGGATGTGTTTTGGTGTGAAGCAAACCTAGGCTCCAGCCCTGACTTTAACACTTCTGATGTTCAATTCTCTCATTGTGAGACTTCCTAGAACTTTTTCTTCACTAAATTTAAGATTAATTAAGCATCTATCTGGTTAAATGTATTCCACTTCTGGCTTTGTGCCCAATCCTTTCACATAAGGAATGATTGTGCCCAATCCTTTCACATAAGGAATGATACATTCCCTTGAACTCCTGCCTGGTCCACCACATCTCTTGAATTTTCTGTGTAATTTTATCATTGCTCCCTCAGTCTAACTCTGACACTGTCTCCAGGGACTTTTAGTTAGTTCAGCTACAACGTGAGTAAACAGAATACTGAGTGATTTGATTTCTTTTGTAGTGGGGGAGAAGAAAAATCCCTGAAATACCAGGAAAGAGAGACTCTAACAAAGGAAAATAAGCTTCTGGCTGCCTCTATAGAAAGGACAAGAAAAAAACCAGCAGATTCCCACCTCTGTCCTTCCGATTGTTCTGGAAGTTCACAAATACAGAGTCCACACTGGTCTTCTCCTCCACATACTCCAATGTTGCTGTCAAACTAGAGGGCCAGAGAGAACAAGTCAACTCAGGGTCTAGAAAAATTTTTCCCCTTTTGCTGTCCAACTTGCCCAGACCAAGAAATCAAAGTTTTTAAACTAGATTTGATAGCTTTTTCTCTGAAGCCAAAGAATTATGACTGGAATGAAATATAAACCACAGAAAAAGTCTAGGAAGAAAGGTCTATTAAGACAAGAAGCTGGAAAGCCCTTTTCGTTATTCAGTTATTTCTGGATTCTCATTTCTATGTTTCTGAATCAGTCCTGCAACTTCCCATAGGCTCTATTCCCTTGAACACCAAAGGTTCTGGGTCACATCACAGGTTTATCTGTATGCTACTTGATTTGTGTGTCCTACCCAGTTCTTGAATCAGCCCACTTACTGATTGTGACACAACAAAAGGATGGAATCCCTTCATCCCTTCCCCCCCAACTGGCTCATCCTAGCTGAATCACCTTTCCCGATTGCCTTGATCCAAGGCCCGAAATGGGATGTCCAGGAAGAGTCGGTGGTCAGAAAGAAGGCCGTGCCAGTGGGCATAGGAATGGGGGGTGAGGCGAAAGTGGAAGTCTAACTGAACTGGATCCTGGTGGAGCAGAATGTCAGTAGACAGCACTGTCAGGTTCCCAGCCTGGAAAAGGAATAAAAAATATTCATATTCTTCTTACCAAACGTATTATAGTCTACTGCCTCAGTGTCCACAAGTCAAATTGTACAGATTTGGGTGCCTCTGGAAGCAAGATGAGTCAAATGAGACAAGCTGGGAGAAGTGGAATCTGTCTCAAAAGTCTCCCTTAAACCTAGGAACTAATAGCCATTCCTGTTAAGAGTTCTACTTGATATCAGATCTGCAGTCTATGGGGTGTTACTGGATGCTGATCTCATCCCAAGGACCAATTGAGAAATGTACAAATATTTACAGTTTATTTTTATCTTGTTTTGAGACAGTTTCACTATGTTGCCCAGCCTGGCCTTGAACTTCCAGACTCAAGCAATTCTCAGGCTTCAGTCCCCCATGGCTTGGACTACAAGGTGTGTACCATAGTACACAGCTTACTGTTTAAACAAAGCCTTATCATCTATTCTATTTACTCCACTTATTTTCTCATATCGGTTTTCTCTCAAACTGTTTTTCTAAGATCATGATTAGGAATGTTACTTGCAATATGATATAGATAAATGAAGTAGTTCTAGATTCTAGGTCAGCATCTAAACAGCTTTATGTCCCATATTCCTATAAAGCAAGTCTATATGTCTATAAAGCAAGTCATTATTACATCTCAGCTCCAATGTACTATCTACCTCTAATTTTCTGACAGACTTTTCCAACTAGCTAATGGCCTCTAAACATCATTACAACTAGCACTCTGCCCCTATCATGCCCTCAGTTCACATTTCACTTACCGAATACAATTCTTTAAGCTGGTTGTGCTCTTTTTCCTGCTCAGTGCTTTTGCCCACCTGGAGACCTCCTAGGGACTCAGGAGCACTGGAGGCAGCAACGGGGCCGGAGTGTCAAGTCCTCCTGTTCCTTATAAGTGATGCTAGTTGGGAAAATAAACCTAAAGTTAATTCACATTCGAATTTGATTAGGCTGTAACTCAAATACTTAGGATTACCTAGGAACACAGGACCAGCCTCTGATACTGTCTTTTTGTATCATCTATGAACCAGCCTATTTTTCCAAAGCAGTCAGATGGGATTTGTCCCATGCTAGATTTGTCCAACTTTACTACCAGTTGGGAAATACTTTCAAATTCTTCCTCTTTCCTACATTTTATAATAAAAAAAAATAAGTACCTTCTGTAACAACAGGGCAGCATCTTCTCCCGGAGGGTGATCCGGTATTTGTAACAGTAAAGATAATAGGCGTATGGTGACCAGAATGGGTAGAGGTAGTTCCGTGTTTTTCCCCTCTTGATATAAGAAAGGGAGTAGAGAGAGGGACGGGACCTGTAACAAGGCAGTTTTTCTGTTCAGTGCCTCCCTGCGGCAAAGTGAAGTTCAGAGACGAGCGGCAGAGGTTCAAGCTATCTTGCCCATTGTGACCTGGAAGGCACTATGACACACGCACTGAGTCAGCCATTATGTCACTGGACTCCACTCTGCTGCTGCTTGCCCCACCCTCTTCCTTAACCGACCGCATATTCACTTGACAGAGGTACTTTAAATACTGTAAAGTTTGTATTCGTTTCAAACAGTCCTACCCAAGCACTTGTGCTCACCCATCCTGGACCATCCACTGGGATACCTCCTTCTAAAACCCACCACTTAAGAGTTCTGACACTGCAGAATAGTTCCAAGACTCTAATTGAACATTTGCTTATTTAGTTCCTGTTCAATATTTTTACTAACATCTCTACCCTACACTTAGGCATTATAGATTATTGAAGTTCTCCATTATCTTGTAGGGTAGGAATGGAAAACTGAAAACCTCCAGGGGCCCAGGACAGCTAATATAAATTAGTTAGACCTGCAGGGCTACATACGAAATGAACTCACACCCTATTTAAAAGACACCAACACAACTCAGTTCATCTGGTTGCCATACAGAGCCAGTGGTATCAGACTTTATGGTTTTTTTTTTTTTCAACCAAAACCAGAAAGAATTTGTGCCAAACCCTTCTTTAAAAGCTAATGAGAAAAATTGAAACGATGTGTTAGCAAACCTTGGTTTTGAGACCACCAGTGTGAACATCTATATATTCTTTATTCATCCAATAAACATTGAATGAATAAATATTGAACACTGGGCTCACAGTGGTAACCCTAGCTACTCAGAGGGGCTGAGATCTGAGGATCACAGTCCAAAACCAGCCTGGTCAGAAAAGTTCACAAGACTCTTATCTCCATTTGACTACGAAAAAGCCAGAAATTCTGCTGTGGCTCATGTGGTACAGTACTAGCTTTGAACAAAAAAGCCCAGGAACAGTACCCAGGCTCCAAGTTCAAGTCCCAGGACAAGCACACACACAGAAGGAAAGCTGTGTGTGTATGAGAGAGAGACAGACAGAGACAGAGACAGAGAGAGCGCTAGGCCAGGCACTGTGAGTCTAGGTGCTTGGGATACAGTAGTAAAGAAAATGAGGATTCCTGCTGCGTGGAACTTCTAAGAATAAAAGAACAAACCTAGAAAATAAGTAATATTAGAAGAAGACTGCTGTAGAAATAGAGCTGGGTAAAGAACCATGAAGGGAATGCAGCAGCAGAGCATAGTAACAAGGTGATCTAAATAATCCTCACTGGAAAAGTAACATTTCATCAAACCCTGAAGGAGTTAAGGTTGTTAACAAGCCAAGCATCTGGATATGAGAGCCCCACTAAGAAGCAAGAACCAGTGTAAAAGCCCCAAATAGGAAATGATCCTAGTGTTTTTAAGAAATAGTAAGATAGCCATATCAATGAGTGAGCTGATACAAGCAATGAGAGCTTGTGGAGTGAGATTATAGAGACTTTGTCACTTGTATGGCCTTTCATTGTTGAATAAAGGGGAAATGATTGCAGAATGGCATGCTTTGACTCCACTTTATAAAAGACCCCTTATCTACAGGGATACCTTATTTCTGGGAGATGGTGACAAGTGGTTGAATTCTGAAATACTTTGGAATACCCACAGAATTTCCTGCTAATAGTATAAAGGAGTTAAGATGTGTCTAAGAACTGAAATAATGGAGTCTCCATCAATTGGCATGAGAAAGGCTAAGGGTTGGGTAGTTTGAGGGAGGGGTTATAAATCATGTTAGTTTGGGACAGTTTTAACTTTGAGATGTCTTTTAGCCACATAGAGGAAGATAATGGATACTCAGTTGGATATTTGTATAGAATTTGTGAGAAGTCTTGGATGGAGATGGAAATTTGGAAATTCTTGGCTTATAAATAGCATAAAACTAGAACAGTTCAAGAGAGTATACATTGAGCCTGGAGCCTGTGGCTCATGCCTATAATACTAGCTAATCAGGAGGCTGAAATGTGAGGATCACTGTCCAAAGCAAAGTCCATGAGACTTATCACCAATGAACATCAAAAAGCCAGAAGTGGAGCTGTTGCTCAAGTGGTTGAGTGCTAGCCTTGAGCACAAAAGCTCAAGGACAGAGGCCAAGCCCTGAGTTCAAGCTCCAGAAACCACACACACACATACACACACACACAGAAAATGATAATCACAAACGTGTTTGAAATGTCACTGGAGAATGGATGAGGTCTTCTCTCATGTTCCCAGTTTCCAAACAAAATCAAAGGTCCTTGATATAATAAAAACATGTCAAGGTGTCTCACAAAAAGAAGAGTCTCAGCCAGGCTCTGGTGTCTCGGACCTGTAATTCTAGCTGCTCAGGAGGCTGAGATCTGAGGATCACAGTTCAAAGTCAGACTGGGTAGGAAAGTCTGTGAGACTCCAATAAATATCAAAAGCCAGGAGTGGAGCTGTTTCAAGTGGTAGAGGGCTATCCTTGACAGTGCCCAGGTTGAGTTCAAGCCTAGGACTGGCACACACACAGTCTCACAAAGTGAAAGTTTTGGCAAGGATGTATTTTAGTGTAACAACAGGGTTAAAGCAGGAGGAAATGGAAAGAGAAGCATTTCCTGCTCCCCAAGCGGAAAACAGGACGGGCAGATTGAGACGTGGCCTCTGAGAACACCTGGAGCTAAAGCCAAGCCCGCTTGATTTCTAAAGCCAAGAAGAAGACAGTTTCTTGTCCAGTGTCAGTGCGCTAATTAGCATTCCATTATCTGTCAATAATTAAGGACATAATCCTCCCCCCTCCGCTCCTTAAAACCGGAAACCGAAGCTGGGAGCGCAGAGGGGAAAGGACTTGCTCTCCCCGCGCGGCGGGGCAGCGCCGGGGCGTCCCGGCCACCCCCGCGCCGCCTCCCGGTCCCAGCGCGCTGGCTCAGGCGCGCCGCGGACAGCCCCAGCGGGGCCCTGCCCGCCGCCGGCGCCGGGGTCCTTCTTCGGGTCTTCCTTTGAGTCCGGCATCATGGCGACGGCCGCCGGCCGAGCGCTGCTGCGGGCCGGCGGGGCTGTGCCGCTGCTGCGGGGAGGAGCCCGGGAGTTACTCCGGCCGCGGCTTGATGGGGGGACAGACAGTGTGCAGCGCGGTTTCGGTCTCTCCCATCGTCGGGTGAGGACGGGCTTGGACTCTGGGGTCCTGGACACTCGTGGGGCTATTGGCGTCCAAGTGTCATTTCTGGGGCGCGTTGGGAGTTGGAGGGGCCCGGCCGTGGCGTGGCGGGCTCTCCTTGGGGCGCAGCCGACCGGGGGGGGGGTCTCTTGGTGGTGACTCAGCCCAGCCTCCCTACCCCAGGACACGGTCATCGTGGAGCGCTGGTGGAAGGTGCCGCTGGCCAAGGAGGGCCGGAAGCCGCGCCTGCACCGGCGACACCGCGTCTACCGGCTGGTGGAGGACACGAAACACGGGCCCAAAGAGAACCTGGAGCTCATCCTCACGCAGTCTGTGGACGGTAAGGCCTGGGCGCAGAGGTACTTGCCCCCTCAGGCTGATCCTGTTTGATATTCGCTGTTTGCCTTTCTCTAGTTTGTAGAATATCTGTCTATACGTGAGGAAAGGAAGCCATTAAAAGTACTGTAATTGTAGCCGGGCGCCGGTGGCTCACGCCGCTAAATCCTAGCTGCTCAGGAGACTGAGGTCCGGGGATCGCGGTTTAGGAAAGAATGAAAACTTTGAGAAAATATAGAAGTGTACTCCCCCTACTGCTACCCCCAAAGACACACATAACTGGGGATGGAGCTCAGGGCCTGGGACATGCTAGTCAAGATCTCTACCACTGAGCTATAACCCAAGCCAGTTATCTCTCTTTGGTGATACATATAGTTTTTTGACCCAGTTTTTCTTGTTCTCATCGGCAGAGCTTGGAGTCCGTGGTGACCTAGTCTCAGTGAAAAAATCTGTGGGTCGTAATAAACTCCTTCCTCAGGGACTAGCTGTATATGCATCCCCCGAAAACAAGAAGCTATTTGAAGAGGAGAAATTGGTGAGTGGACAAGAGGAACCTGGAGGAACAAAACATTTAAGGAAAAGTTTTCTCTATGAATTTCCTCCCCTTCCATATTTAATTTAAATAGAAGAATAAGATTCTAGGAATCCTGCCTATTCCTGGCATAGTAAGAGTTTGATATTACTTAACATGAACTCATGTTTAATTCATTTTCATCTATTTCTTTTCTAGCTGAGACAACAAGGAAAATTAGAGAAAATCCAGACCAAGGCAGGAGAAGCAGTAAGTAGAAAGTTTATTGCTCACCAGCCTCTTCTTGAGAGTCTCCCTGATTTCCTCAGAATCTCCTGATTATACACACTAGAGTGTGAGAAAGAAGTGTTACAGGTTCCTCATATAAGTGCTACTTCCCTCTTGAGGAATTCTGGTCTTTTATATGAAGTACCATAGCTTATTGAGGTAATCTGGACATAGGGAATCCAATGAAAGTGTGAGGTGAGAAGCTAGTAAATAATGGCTCATGCCTGTGGTCCTAGCTACTTAGGAGACAGAATGAGAGGATCATGGTTCTAGGACAGCATGGGCAGAAAAGTTCACAAGACCCTCCTCCTTCTCAAGCCCATAGGCCAGTGTAAGCTACATGGGAGGCTGAGATGGGGGAGGACTGAAGTTCAGGTCATCCTGAACAGAAAAGTCCAAAGAGATTTCAACTTGGTGGAAAAAGCTGCTCATGATGGCAGGAACCTATCAGTCCAGCAACAATGGGAAGCCTGAAATAAAGTTGTCATGGACCAGGACAGGAAGTGAGGCCCTATCTCAAATGTAACCAGAGAAAAGCAGGCCTGGAGACAAGGCTCAGTGATGAGTTTCTACACAGCACATCTGAGGCCCCAAGTCCAGGGCCCAGTAACCTTCTTGTCTTCCCTACAAACGAATGTGAGATGAAGTCTCTGCCTGTAAGATCATTTACAGATAAGTAAAATGTAGACTTGAGAAGGCAGTAAATTCAATGCAGTACATTTTAAGAGTTACATGCATCATAATGGGCTTAAGGGTGACTGCAGAGGACCTTTTCTCAGATGGGATCAATAGGCTTTGAACAGTCCAGGAGAATGGAAAAAGTTCTTTTTAAAAATAATGTATTATAAAGGGGGTATACAGAGGGTTTTTGAGTACATTTCTTTTTGGATAGTGTTACCCCTTCCTCACTGTCTCCCAGTTTTTTCCTCCTGGGAAAAGTGTTCTTAAAGGAGAAAAAGTTTAAGTAGAAATTTAAGGCACATTTTAACAAAGTAGACCAGTCTAGGAAAAACAGGATTTACATAGTATAATATTAGGAAACATGGCTAGAAAGGGGATTAGAAGAGGATGTGCAGAACATCTTGAATCGTCAACTAATGAATTAATATTTCATTCTGTAAGCAAAAAAGAACTATCAGTTGGTGCAGGTAGCAGTACAAGTCCATTTAAAATGGTATGAATAACATTTTTTTGTTTTTGGTCAGTGGGGTCTGAACTAGGCCTGAGCACTGTCCCTCAGCTCTTCAGATCAAGTCTAGCACTCTACCACTTGAGCCACAGCACCACTTCCAGCTTTTTCTGTGTATATGGTGCTGAGGAATTGAACCCAGGGCCTCATTCATGCAAGGCAAACACTCTACCGCTGAGCCACCTTTCCAGCCCCAAAGATCTAAAAACATTTTTTTTGGGGGGGCCAGTCTTGGGGCTTGAACTCGGCCTGGGCACTGTTTCTGAGCTTCTTTTGCTGAAGGCCAGCAGCCACAGCGCTACTTCTGGCTTTTTCTGTTAATGTGGTACTGAGGAATTGAACCGAGGGCTTCATGAATGCTAGGCATATACTCTGCCACTAAGCCACCTCCCCAGCCCATGAATAACAGTCTTTAAAGGCCATTCCATCCTAGATATACTGGGAGTCCTTTTTGATGATCCTGACTAATGTTCCTAGTTCTGGTACAGCAGTGTATATAGGTGACATCCTTTTAAAAGGTTTGTTAAAATATCCTTTTACCTTATCAGCCACAATACAGTAAGGCTATATCTATCTTTCCCATCCATTTTCTCCCCATCTTGAGTATGAAGCAGAAATTGTGTCCTTGTTTTCTGAACTCTCAGACATGTGACTCTTAACAAATGGTTGTTCTCCTTTGACTCCAATTCAAATCTCAGTCCCTATTTATAATTCTTTTCAGACAGTAAAATTTCTGAGAGGCTGTCACCTGGAAGTGGGAATGAAGAACAATGTCAAATGGGAGCTGAACCCTGAAATAGTTGCCCGCCACTTCTTCAAGAATGTGAGTGTTTCCAAACACCGCCTCAAGACAGTGCTTCCTCTGGGAAGGAAGCCCCAACTTTAATCCTTCATTACAGAAGAGTGTGAGCATCGAGCTGGAGTTAAAAGTATTCTTTATTGGTTTGCAGGGAATGGGAGGGAAAGGATTGAGATAATAGACTTTAAAGATAGGAAAAGTTGGAGGAGGTAGGGAGAACCTGGGAATACATGAATTATGGGAGAATTACTACTCTCGTGGGTGAAAGTGATTTTAATGAGTTTCTATTTGTAAATTCACCTCCCTTTCTGGAAAGTCAGACTAAGTTTATCTGCTGTGGTCAGTTTTGTATCCTTCCATGAAATCAAACAGAATAAATTTTCCTGTACAGGAAATTGTAGGGGAGGTAGCTTTATGTGGTTGCCTAAAATGGCATCCTTAAGGATTCATTTGGCTGATTTTTTCCCCCCAGCTTGGTGTTGTAGTTGCTCCACATGCATTAAAGTTACCAGAGGAGCCTATCACACGGTGGGGCGAGTACTGGTGTGAGGTGACGGTGAGTGTTTCAAGTGTTGTTTTTCCCTTTTTCTCACTGGGAGAAACATCAACATGAAAAGATGGAGTTGGGCCTGACTGTTTTTTGTGCTGTTTTTTTTTTTTTTTTTCCAGGTAAATGGACTTGACACTGTGAGAGTTCCTATGTCTGTGGTCATGTTTGAGAAGCCCAAGACCAAAAGATACAAGTACTGGTTAGCTCAGCAAGCTACCAAGGCCTTGCCCTCCACCGACTCCCAGACAATCTGAATCTCCCCTCTAGTTGTGCAAAGCAGAATCAAGAACAGTGGAGTAAAAATGAGCCGGCACCTTGGCCTCACTCCTAGCTCTGACAAAGTGTGGATTTTAGAGAACATATGGACATGCCAGACTGAAAGGCATATGTCTGTGTTGACTCTTCCATGTTACCATCTGCACCTCTCAACAGTTCTCACATCTGGCTTTACTGGGACAGTTCTGCTCAGGAAGTACTAGACTATAGATTTATGTTGCATTGCAGTGGACTAAAACAGTCTGGATCCTGTTTAGCCAGAGTTAACTGGAGCAAATAGAAGAGCTAGCCATCATCTCTAGTACTTAGCTCTCATCATCTGAACTGAACATTTATATATCATACAGAAATAAAGACCTGTGTTCTTTTTTTAGGTATTATTTAATGGCTTCAGTAGACTGGGAATAGGACATCCAAAGTAAGATTTTTTTTTTTTTTTTTGGTCATTGTGGGTCTGAACTCTGGGCCTGGGCACTGTCCCTCAGCTCTTCAGCTCAAGGCTAGTGCTTTACCACCTGAGCCACAGCACCACTTCTGGCTTTTTCTCCTTATGTGGTGCTGAGGAATCAAACCCAGGGCCTCATGCATGCAAGACAACCGCTCTACCACTGAGCCACCTTCCTAGCCTGTAAGATGTTTTTGTGAGCCACTGAAGGTTTGTGGCTAAAAAGGAGAAGAGTATATTAAGTTGCTATGTCCTACAGTTATTATGAGTTAATTCCCCTGAAAATTGGATTTTGTCTTTGGTCTTAGAACTTAACTCTCATTAGATGTATTGATAAAGTCATCAGTGAATAAGCACAATGCCTTTATACAATGGCTTCTTGCTTCTCAAAAAAAAAAAAATCTGAATAAGGGCTGGGAAGGTGGCTCAGTGGTAGAGCACTTGCCTTGCATGCATGAGGCCCTGGGTTCGATTCTTCAGCACCACATAAGCAAAAAGAAAAAAGCTGGAAGTGGTGCTGTGGCTCAAGTGGTAGAGCACTAGCCTTGAGCTGAAGAGTTGAGGGACAGCGCCCAGGCACAGAGTTCAGGCCCTATGACTGGACCCCCCAAAAAAAAAAATCTGAATAAGACTTAAGAGTAATTGATGGAGGCTGGGAAGGTAGCTCAGTGGTAGAGGCTTGTCTTGCATGCATGAAGCCCTGGATTTGATTCCTCAGCACCGCATAAGCAGAAAAAAAAAAAAAAAAAGCCAGGCACTCTGGCTCAAGTGGTAGAGTGCCTGCCTTGAGGTGAAGAGCCGAAAGACAGCACCCAGGCCCAGAGTTCAGGGCCCATGACCAGACCCCCCCAAAAAATGGTAATTGATGGAGGGCTGGGAATGTGGCTCAGTGGTACGGTGCTTGCTCACATGTATGAGGCCCTGGGTTTGACTCCTCAGCACCACATAAACAGAAAAGGCCAGAAATGGAGCTGTGGCTCAAGTGATAGAGCTTTAGCCTTGAGCACAGAGAGGCTCAGGGACAGTGCCCAGGCCCTGAGTTCAAGCCCCAGGACTGGCAATAATAATAATAATTGATGGAGAAAATGATGTTTGAAGATTGAAAACTGGTCAAACATGAGTGGCTCATGCCTGTAATCCTAGCTATTCAGGAGGCTGAGATTTGAAGCTGATAGGAAAATCCGTGAGACTCTTATCTCCAATTAACCATCAAAAAGCTGGAAGTGGAGCTATGGCTCAAGTGATAGAGTGATAGCCTTGTGCACAAAAGCTCGTGGAGAGCGCCTAGGCCCTGAGTTCAAGCTCTAGTATGCACCAACACCCCCCCCACATACACACACACAAAGGAACTCTGCATTGTTTTTTAACTAGCTCCTGGAATTCTATAAATAATTTCTGGACTATGTCTAAGATACTAAGATGATTAGGTCATTCTGAAATAGATATCTTAATGGGAAATGAAAGAACCTAGTATAAAAGGAGCATATGTTGGCAATTGGGTTGTGCTCTTTTACAGTATGCTCTCTGGGGATGGAAAGATGAGAGCAGAATCCTTTACTGGCTTTGGAAGATCAGAAACATTGTTTTCTCTCATCCTAAATGTTTGAGCTCACCTGCCACACTGAGCCAACGAAGCACTTTTATTCCAGCCCAAGTAGTTAACTAGTGATTTCACATTTGCCAGAACCTGTATCACCATCTTTCCCTTAAAATAGAAGGTACACAGGTTTTGTTTTTTTTTTTCATATTGCTATCTTAGCATGTCCAGATTTTAGCAGCAGATACACTTCACACAACTAATTAAAATGTCATAAAGTGAGTTCTTTACAGAAACAATTAGTGAAGTCAGACACTGGTGGCTCAAACTTGGTAATCCTAGCTACTCAGGAGACTTAAGATCTGATGATCCTGATTCAAAGCTAGCCCAGGCAAAATGTACAAGAGACTGTATCTCAACCAAGAAAAAAAGCTGAAGTAGATGAGTAGCTCAAGTATGTGGTAAGTGTATAAGCCAAAAATTCCAGTTAGTGAATGTGTGGGAGTGAGTGGGTGAGTAAATGATCAGCTATTGAAACTCCAACCACTTAGATTTCCATTTGCTGCTGACTTTCAAGGCCACCTGTAGCAGGGCATTCATAGCTCAAGCCTGTAATCCTAGCTATTCAGGATGCTGAGATCTGAGGATCAGGGTTCGCAGCCAACCCAGGAAGACAAATCTTGAGACTCATCTCCAGTTAACCAGCAAAAAGGCAGAATTAGAAGTATGGCTCAAGTGGTACAGTACAAGCCTTGAGCTAAAAACCTAAGCAAGAGCACAAAACCAAGTTCAGACTCCATAACTGGAGGGGAAAAGGCCCCCTGTAAGTTTGCCATATTACAGCCATCATCCTCATTTTCAGCTTTCACCTATTAAGACACCCCATATGCTAACCAAGTTCAGCCTTTCTCTTCTGTCATCTGATCAGATCCCCTGAGCAGGTAGTTATAGAAGTAAACCATGAGAAAAACAGTACAACAGTGGGGGGTGGCAGGGAGTCTGGCCAGTTGCATGTACTGCCGTTTGCCTCTGTCCCTGCTTGTGCTCAGTTCTTACATAATACTATTACCTCAAGAAGGACATCGCTAGACCCACCTAGCCTTATAACTTGGAGGTATGACAGAACCAAGATTATAATTCCTGGTGACATGGTTGATGTCCCACAGGTAAGCATTTTGTCTCAACTAGGACTTGGCACAATCACAGACTAGGCACTGTCTTTTCAAAAGTGTGTTAATTGTAAGATTCATATGTGTGTTCCTGTTTGGCTTGCCATAAATAGTATGGAATGCTTTCCTACCACCTCCTTTGAAGTCTGGTAAGGATCTTGTTTCACAATCTAGACTTGCCACAATTTTGTTTTGCTTTTGTTTTTGTTATGGCCCGGTCAAGGCTGCCAGCCTTTTACTCCACTAGATTATTGGGTTAAAACAGTATTTCCAGGTGTGGAATGTGACATTTGTAGACACCGAAGAGGCTAACTAGTCTCTCTACTCCCTTAGTGAGAGATATGAGATGTAAAATTTCTCCTTTACTTTGGAAAGAATTCCCTGGCCTCCTCCAGATCACTAGACTATTAGGAACTGCACAAATATGGCAGGGTTCTGAATATCAGTAGGGTCAGTGTATATGATAAATGAAGAACACATCCCACCAAGGCCTCCAGTGTTCTTGACATTTCTTGCTCCTCCCATGCAATTATTATGATGCCATCAATATAATGTGATATCATATAAAATGTCCAGATGGTCTATCTCCCTTCAAACAGAAGTCGGAAGTGTTTACATGGTCCAAGGAGAGGGCTGGAAATGTAACTTTCATCTTAAATCTTTACGGTCTTCCTTTGCTTAGAGATTTAACAAAAGCCCCAGGAACATTGAGGGGAAAATACACTGCCCAGGTCAATACATAACCATGTTCCTAGGGCTTTGTTAAAGCTCTAACTGGGATATCACATTTGAGACAGCAGATACAATTAAGTTGTTTTGTGGGAGGTTGAACTCAGTGCTAGGGTACTGTTCCTCAGCATTTTTGCTCCAGGGTGGTGCTCTACCATGTTAGCCACAGCTCCACTTCCAGCTTTTTTGCTGGTTAGTTGGAGATAAGAATCTCCAGACTTTCCTGCCTGGGCTAGCTTCAAACCAAAATCCACAGTAGCTAAGATTACAGGTGTGAGTCATTGGCACCAAGAGTTCTAGAATTTAGAATTGCTCCTTGACTAAAATTATAGCTATATGAGGTAGCACATGCCAGTAACGTCAACACTTGGAAGGCTAAGGTAGGAGGATAGCAAGTTTGAACCCAATGTAGGTTAACAGCAAGCCCTCAACTTAAAAAAAAAAATTCTCTTCCTGCTATAAAGAATTATAAAGCCTTGGGGCTGGGAAGGTGGCTCAGTGGTAGAGCGCTTGCCTTGCATGCCTGAGGCCCTGGGTTTGATTTCCCAGCACCACATAAGCAAAAAAGAAAAAAAGCCAGAAGTGGTGCTGTGGCTCAAGTGGTAGAGCGCTAGCCTTGAGCTGAAGAGCTGAGGGACAGCTCCCAGGCCCAGAGTTCAGGCCCCACAACCGGACCCAAAAAATATTAAAAAAAAAAAATTATAAAGCCTAGATACTCAGGAGGCTGAGATCTGAGGATTGTGGTTCAAAGCCAGCCCAGGCAGGAAAGTCTGTTAGACTCTTATCTCCAATAATCCACCCAGAAAACCGGAATTGGCGCTGTGGCTCAAGTGGTAGAGTGTTAGCCTTGAGCTGAAGAGCTGGGGGACAGCGCCAAAGCCCAGAGCTCAAGCTCTGCTACCGACAAAAAGAATTATAAAGCCAGACAAAATTATAGAAATATTTGTAGACAGGTGCTGGTGGCTCATGCCTGTAGTCCTAGCTACTCAGGAGATTTGAGGATTGCAGTTTAAAGCCAGCCCTGTCAAGAAAGTCTGAGAGACTCATCTCCAATTAACCACCAGAAAACTGAAGTGGCACTGTGGCTTAAAGTGGTAGAGCACTAGCTTGAGCAAAAAGATCTCAGAGACAGTGCTCAGGCCCCAAGTTCAAGCACTACGACCAGCAAAAACAAACAAGAAAGGTGAACGTTAGAAAGCAGATAGTATAGAACATAGAGCTGGGAAATAAAAGCCTTAGCTCACCACCTGGAGAAAGTTTCCTGTACTGTACTATAAGGAGCAGTGCCGAGAGCCAGTTACCAGCCTGAGAGCAAAAACTCGAAGACAAAACTGGAGATGAGGAAATGACACATCTACAGAAGTGCTGTTTCAGACATTTGGCTGGGGACTAAGTATAGCTCAGTAGCAAAGTGCATCCCAATCAAGGGCGAGGCTATGGGCTCAGTTTCTACCACCACAAAAAAAGGAAGGGAAGGAGAGAGGAAAGTT